ATTATTTTTCATAATATATTTAGTTAAACTTGTTTTTATTTTTTCTACAGCTTGTATATAACTATTTTTGTAAAAGAAGAAAAATATTATAAGTCGTAAGATGGAKATAATACAAATTTAGGTGTAAATAATCTAGTAAATTTCATAACGTAAAATGAATATTTTCAACAATATAATACGACAAATTTTAGACAGCATAATGTTTTTGTGTCAACGGCTTACTTTAAAACTTACTAAACAATCGATTTTATATTATACATATTTACTTTAGTGACATTTTGAAAAACGGTGGAAATTCAGTAGACGCAGCAATAGGTACATTGTTGTGTGACAGTGTTGTATGTCCTGATTTAACGGGCATCGGTGGAGGTTTCCTAATGACCATATACAACAAGACTACAAACACATCGTTATTTATAAATGCTCTAGAAACTGCTCCAAGTGCCGCCAATTACACTATGTATGACAACGATCCATCGAAATCATTAACYGGTATGGAAATACATACATACCTATTGAAAGCTTGCGATTGACACTGCAGTTATCGTACTTTCTAAAAAAAAAAAAATAATCATAATAAACAAATATTGTAAGTGGTTTAGTAAATAAATAAGGATTATGCAGTTGTTAAAGTATCATAATGGTAATTTTGATGTATGTAATTTCTAAATATTATATACAATAATAATATTATGTATTGTAGTAAATCGGAAAGAATGTGATTGCGCAATATATATTGTATATTATATATTATTATCATTGTATTTATTTTATTTTCATTTCTATGTGATTTATCATCCATATATATTGCGCACACAGTCTAAATTACTACCCTCTCATATGTTTATGTGCACACAAATACACATATACGTATAAGGACTCATACTTATACTATAGTAAATTAACTCACCCTATTTTGACCGTAGATTTGTCAAGTGTTCAATGAATGCAGGAATAAGAAGTAGGTGTAATGTTAATTCACTTATAATATAATGTTAATCAAAAACGCAAGTGATATATTATTGATATTGAGTTAACACATATTTTATTATTTTGTAACACAAAGATACTTTAAATATACATTAGCTCTCCACGTATGAGTCGTATGACCATCACCAAAGGCACACGCTGGGAGAGCGTCGTTGTGTCCAAGAGCTCGATGGTCGATGGATGTCCTTTGAGTCGGTGGGGTAATTTGTTTAGATAGGGTCAATGGACATAACAATATCTGACCACTGATGTCTATTATCGTACGAACATATGTGTGACTGTGTATATAATAGTATATAATAGTATAGACATGCGCTGAGTGTATATGTATTAGATGATGCTACTATTATAGTTATAAGTAGCTATATTATCATTACAGTATATGATACATGAATACGTACACTTGAAGGTGCAATTCTTTCAAGGTATTRAAAAAATAATATTAATTCAGGAGCATTGGCGATCGCGATCCCCGGTATGATCCGAGGCATTTGGGTATCATACAATTTATACGGAGGAGGAGTTTCTTGGGCTTCTCTGATCAAACCAACAATACAGCTATGCGAAGAAGGAATCGTTGTAAATAAACGTTTAGGGGCCAATATTAATGCAGCGAGGGATCTTATTTTTAAAACTGGATTGAAGTAAGCTTATTTCAAAACAGTGGTTTTTTTAAATACATTAAATAATGAGATTATAACATTTCATGGCCATGGTACGTCTCAAACATCTCACTACGCAAATATCTAAAAATTGAAATAGTCTCTAATACAACTAAAAATTAATACAAAAAATTCCACATTATATCATTAGCAGCATCCAACTTTAGTGAATTCATCCCAAGTAAACTATCTCGATAAAAAAGACAATAGTGTCGTGATCTCTTGAATCCCAACCGGTATTGGATAACTAAAAACTTCTCTACCATCAAGTCAGAGAGTTTATGCACTGGTAGACCTTCCTCCTAGCGTAATTCATGTTGTTAAATATTTGTTTTAGATATTAAATTTACTTTTGGTAACTAAATTATAATTTTGTTTAAAAAAAAAGACATGCATTCAAATATGTTCCTAAATTCGATGATAGGTTATTTTGCTTATAATTTTCATACATGTAATATAACTAAATTTAGGAATTTGACCGCATTACATAACGAAATACAATTTTTTTCCAGGAAATATTTTTTCAATAATAAAACGGGGAATTTAATGAAGCCAGGTGATATTTATACAATGCCAATACTGGGTCAAACTTTACGAGTTATAGCAAACAAGGGTGCAAATGCTATATACGATGGCGCACTAACGCAAAAATTGGCCAATGATATACAGAGTGCAGGCGGAATTATAACAGAAAAAGACTTCAACGATTACTCGTGAGTTATATAAAAGCATAATACAACTTAAAAAAATAATCTTTTACACAACCTCAAGACATTTAAATTTCTTGTATACTATATAAACAATAGTCGTACTTAGTATAGTATACTATATATCAGGGGTCACCAACTGGCGGACCGCGGTCCGGATACGGACCTCGAGCACTTTTTTTATGGACCGCGAGCTCGTTTTCATTTTACATTGATTAAGTTCATACGCGCCAAACCGGCGAGGGAAACGCGCCGTCGTCGGAGTGACGCGTATGAATTTGACCAATTTTTCACATTAAAAATGAAATATTTCAAACATAATCTTTTTTTTTGTAAATTCAATTTAAATAAATAAATAAATACAAATACAAATTTTAAAATGTATATACCTATTTATTAATGTGTGTAAAATACAATGTGAATAGATAAATAAATATAATCACAAATTTATAAATTATGTCATTGAAACTGTTTGGACCGCGTAAAGTTTGGTAAGTTTCAAAACGGACCCCCATAGAAATTAGTTGGTGACCCCTGCTATATAGTATACTTAATAGTAAATTCATTTTTTTTTATTGGTTTAACAAGGCTTCAAAAATTGGGTTCATTAGGCTGTAATAATTACAAAATAATTAATAATTCATGTATACCTACATCTAAAACCATATAAAAAAAACCATAAAATTATAACGTATATACTATATTATTATAGTGTTACATAATGTATGTTTTCATGTTATATGTAGTGTTCTTGTAGAAGAGAGTTTTGAAATAAGTCTTAAAAATGGTTACAAATTATATTCGGGCTTACCAGCTGGTTCTGGTATTATATTAGCTTATATTCTTCGAGCGTTAGACGGACAGTTACCTACGCCCAATGCCGATTTGGACGCTGTCCGATTGGTAGAAACTTTCAAATTTGCATATGGTGAAAGAATTCATTTGGGCGACCATATGTTTGTAGACACATCTGAAGTTAGTCTATCGTGCCCAAAATAATTACTATTTAATAAGGACTTGACAATGATGTAATTCACATACGTTTTTAGATTTTGAAAAAAGTGACCTCAGATATGTACATGAATAGTGTACAAAACAGCATTTCTAATGAATATACATCGAAAGATCCTAAGTTCTACGGAGCCGATTTCAGTTGGTCTGAAGACCACGGAGCAGGAAACATAGCTGTTTTAGATTCATTTGGAAACGCAGTGGCGGTCACCAGTACTATAAACACTGAGTGAGTCTAAGTTATCAAATTATCATACCTACCATAAATAGGTAGCTTTATATTAAATTTAATGTTCATATAATCAATAACATTTTGTTTTCTATATAATATTATTATGTATAGCTGGTGCATTAAGCTATTTCATAAAGTACATACATAACAGTTTTTTTCAACTTGGGCTTAATAAGCGGAAGCACTAACTTTAGTTAATTTTAAACTAAATTTATTGTTCTTAGTGAGTGGGGGGTGAAATTGGTTCTAGTCGACTGATCAATCTCAAGTAGACATAATAACGAATTAAAATCAAAGTTTTATTGCATTACAATTTCGATTAGTAGGTATATGAAGAAGAAAATATTGGTATGTTTAGGATAAAAAAAACTGCCGATACCTTTATTATTTGCACATTTCATCGCAGTGTTATTATTTTATCTCAACAAAATAAATATAAATAATAACAAATATTTTTCATAGAAATTTCCTACTTACATTATTATATCGAGTACATTTTTTAAATTAAATTGAATTGGAATTTAAATAATTAAAGGTTCATAATATTTTAATGTTATTTAATATCTAATCCTGAACTGTACAGCGTTAAAATGTAAACAGCAAATTTTTTTTTAACAGAGTTATTTGGGTTGTTTCGACCAGAAATAAGATACAGTCAAAGTTATTGCTCCATAATAACTATTTTATTTTTTGTATCCGACGACAACAATATATAAATGAAATATGATAGGTTTTCGTGAGCCAATAAAGTCCTGTGTAGCTTTCCTTAAATTGAATTCCCTTAAAATGCAAAATTTTCAAAATTAGCTTCCTGGTGCACTTTCCAAGGTACCAATATGATATACCAAATTTTAGAACCACAAGTGTGGTAGACTTATAGTTGTTGAATATACATAAACACACACAATCATTGTCTTTTATTAATATAGCTTCATGATGATGATAATTTAAAAATTATTTGAAGAGTTAGTTTTTAGTTAACTAAAAATAATGTTAATGTCCAAACATTTTGATTACATACTTAAACGTCTTAAACAAATCATTCATAATAATTTAAATAGTATACTATGCTATCATTATCATTTGTTATTAAAAAGTTATATAAATATGTAATAATATGATAATGATTCGGATTAAATCAATGATTGTGTTAAATTAAATAATATTTTATCTTTAGATTTGGTAGCGGTTTTGTATCAGAAAGTACGGGAATTATTTTTAATAATGAAATGAACGACTTTTCAACTTCAGGCTCTACTAATTTCTACGGGTTTCCACCATCGCCGTCTAACCTTATTCAACCTTATAAGCGACCAATGTCGTCTATGTGTCCTACGGTAATAACTGATTCCAAAGGGAACACAGTTTTGGTTATAGGAGGTACTGGAGGATCAAAAAGCCCACTCGCTACAGCATACGTGAGTCGACATCAAATAATTATCTAATTATTTTTAGACAACCACAATAATATTTTATTGTAGAGTCAAGATGTATCTTAATTTCATCAACATATCAAAAAATATAAACTAATTAAAATAAATTTATAACAGTTTTGATCGTATCAATATGTTATCGAATTATTTAAGTTTTTTGCCGTGATACTTATTGTTTATATAGCTGTAATTGTTAATTGAAATACAGAACTTCGTTCCAATACAATTTTAAAGGTTTATTGCATTTTAAATAGTTGTGCATTACAATTTACAGAATTATCATATTTTAATATTTTCTTTTAACTATACATTTTTATGAAAGTTTGTACGTATTATAATATACTTACTTAATTATACCTTAGAAATTTCCAATTATTATTTTACTAACGTTGTAATATTGTATAAACCATCAATAAATGATCATTTCACATAAGTCCCCAGTCTGAAATATTGTGAATTGTATTTTATTTAGTAAGTATCAATATAATTTATAGTAAAAAATTGGAGTTCTCATTTGGAAAACAAAAGTTAAGTGTTACAAAAAATCTCAAGAAATTGAAAATATGGTCTTGAGTATATTTAGAAATTCCAAAAATTAGATTTTGAATAACTTCGTTATTAAAGAAAAAAAGGGTGAGCATGCTTGGTGAATCATCCTGTATATATATAATAAGTAACTAAAATTCACCTTTTAATTTCAAAAATGTTAAGTGTACAACGATTTCTTAAATGAATAATATATACCATATAGGTTTTATAAGTGCCAATATGATATCCATAATAAGCAATTATATAAGCTTTTATATACATAAAATAATTTTGGATTTATTGCATTAAAATAGGTATCTGCCCTTGTCTTATGGTATAACAAAACACTGAAAGAAGCGATTGAAGAACCAAGATTATACCATCAGTTGATCCCTATGCAGGTCGATTACGAATACGGAGTGCTTAAGGTCGATTATAAAATATTAATTAAATTAATTTTATGTCTATGCATTATAATTAATAATATGCTCACACATTCGGCTTATTATTAATTTATAGCCTGTTGTTGAAAAACTTAAATATGTTGGTCACAAAGTGAGAAGAATGATGAAAAAAGATCAATCGGCTGTAACTGGAATTTTCAAGACACCTGAAGGAATAATAACGGCAATGTCTGATTTCAGACAACAAGGGAACATATCTGGATATTGACTTTATAAATTTAATTTTAGTAACTTTATGTTTACTTTATACATACTAATTTAAATACTTTGACTGTATTTTAAAATCTAAATATTTCAGCTATAAAAAAAAGTATTTACAATGCTATTTTAAACAATTCAAATGTCCAGTTTTGTTCTTTGGAACAAGTGATAGTAATAATAATACTAATATGGGAAATAATTATAAATAACACATCACAGACTATGTCACTGAATATACGTAATGTATTATATGTATATTTCATAATTTGATACAACTAAAATGAAAAAAGGATCAGAACTAAATAATAAATAATTGGTTACCTATTATAAAGAAAATTGTACTACCACGATCGGGTCTAAAACATCTTAAAATATCAAACATTTCAATTTCTAAGTTTGAAATAGATACTATAAAATTAGTCTAATAAATTACTAATTTAATAATCTAAGATTTTAAGAGGGTTTCAGTGCAATATTATATTCGTTTTTTTCTCTCTGACACAGTCTCAATTTTTTTAGAATTCGTTGAATCATTAGATTAGATAGTCTCAAAAATCCAATAGATATCAAACAATACGGACCCACGTTCGAAAATGAACTTCACTAACAACAATATAATGATTTAAAAGAGCAAATAACTTATATTATGAGTAATAATCTTTAAAAATCAAGAATTGTATTAATAAGCTTAAGGTACAATAATGTAAAACATATTTTCCAGAATTTGTAATCGAGGACTAAATTTAGGCATAGATGAAACCATAGAAAAAAATCAAAATTACAAATTGACCCGCTTTAAATTTAGATTGGGTTTGTTTCATAAAAAACTATACATTTTTCAATTTATTTTCTTAAATACTAAACATGAAATCGTAAGATGGCTAAAATAATTTAATGCAATAATGATGGAGAGTTAAAACCAATATTGAGTTTATTAGTTTTCGTTTGGGTTTTTCATACAATTTATTTAAATTTCTATGGCAATCAGTTTTGGTTACGCATTAATTGGTTAACAATTAAAATTATGAAAGCCGGAGGTTTTAACCGGTTGTAAAATGTAACAGATTTTTTTTTAAAATCGGTTTTAAGCTCGAATAGGTTAGATTAAAATATTTCTTGGTACACAACTACACAACTATTGTAATATCTATTTCATGCTGTGACAGATACATACATACTTACGGTGCTGTTATTCTTAATTAATTGTATTAGAAAATGATTTTTTTATTAATAGAGAGCTTAATTATTACATCTCATCAATGAAAAATATCTACTTTAATATATTTTAATAAAATACTATAACTTTTAAAACAGTTTTAAGTAGAAATATCACATTATATAAAATCAAATAGTTGATGTGGATAATGTTTTAAGATAAATAGTGAATTAAGTACATATTATACATTTGACAAATTGTACTCGAATATCTCATGAATACTGACAATATAATACATAATACATATATTATTAAATTTAATAGTGGTAAATCCGTATTATAAATGTCATAGTTTGAATTAAATAAATATCCAATAAAATAATATATTAAGTAGTTTATAAAATTTRTTTTTATCAATTTTAATTTTGAAAATCTAAGAGAAATGGTGGTCGCAATTCCAGGGGCCCTTAAAGGCTACTCGACTATATACGTATAACTTGTATATWWACGGAGTTGGATGGGAAATGTTGTTTGGTCCAACCATAAAACTATGCGAATGGGGTATAACTGTCAGTGATCATCTAGAATATTCCTTGAAATTTGACGAAAAATTAATATATAACATCACAATTCTCTGGTATAATACAAGTGTATAATATTAMTTACGTTATAGGAAAATTGTGACTATATATTTTTAATATTTTAAAATTAAGCGTATATAGGATTATGTATTACATTTAAAAAATTAAATATTCATTGACATTGATGGAAAAAAAACTAAAAAAAAATCATGATACAAATAGTTGTAGATAGCCTTATAGGCTAGGAATGTCTTATTATTATAAATAGGTAATAATAAAAAAAAAAATTATATAGGTATATAGGTATSATGTCATAATTGAATACAATTTATTTGTTTTTTTTTCCTAGTTTTGATTCACCAACAATTTTTCACAAATATTATTTACCATATTGGCACATTGGTTTTACATCAGTCACTTCGGTTATTCATATATATTAATATATAATTGTAATCGAATTATGTATGTCCACCTTGAACATAAATTTAAAATAATTAGTTTTTTTATCTCACCGAAATAATTTGTCTATGATAACTACTCAAGTCTGTTCTAATGAAATACAAATAACAATCATATCAGTGGGTCAAAGATTATGCCTATGCTATAGTACAGTATAGATTTAAAATGACGTATACGTCCACCATACTTTCATATGAACCTTTCAACAGTTTCAACGTATTCAAGATGATTTATATTTGTCAAAGAAAACTCTTAGACGCTATAGGTCAAAATATTTAACAGACTATCAGTTGAMTCTTTACAAACAACATTTTTACGATGTTAAATACAATAGATACCTATTTCATTCCACAGAATATAACTGTCGCAGATTAAATAGTAGTCTACAGCAAAGGTAAAATATTATTAWTTTTATATTTATCATAATAGTTTCACAAAATTTGCCTTTTCATACATTTAAAACTCTGAATGTTTTCGAAAAAAAATATCATAGAGTATTATTAGTSTAATAATTTAAAAAAATTTAAATTAACGGTGCAAGCAATGTAATAAAATTGTTGATGGAAAATTAATTTTTGCAATAACACAAAACTAAATAAACGTAACTTAGATAAAACGACAATTTAGAGAGCTGTATACAATCTGAAAAAAAGAGAAAAATAGGTAACCATTCAGCTGTTTAGTAAGAATCAGGCAAACCTCGTCATCGTGTTGTTAACTATAATAGATATTGTGTTGAATTTKAATTCAATAATACATCGCAAAAAACAATTTTAAGAGTTAGTCTACGTTATCATTTGTAAGCCTGTTATCATATACATATGTTGTTGCTATTAATTATTATAGTATAATATATAATTATCACTGATGATTAAAAATAAATTGCAATACATGTCTGAATTTTTTTATAAATAAACTTATTTAAATTTTTAAGTTAAKTTTTAAATACTTCGCTAAAAATACGAATAAAAACTAATTTTGCTTAAATATCACATGCTTAACGATATTAAAGTGTCAGTGTAATCGATAATTAACAGAATATATCCTTAAAATTCGTTATCAAATATTATTTATACAAAAAACAAAATTACTTGATACTAATAACTTACTATACACGTTACCTTATGTGCTTCGGTATTGCCGCGTATCGGGTTATACAAGTGACCGAGTAATAACTCTAAAAACTTATTAAAATTAGCTGCCACGTTGATTTACTATGAAATTCTTCTATAACGTCCCCCCGAAATTTGGAGGCATAAATGAAAGAGGACGCATAATATTACTATAAATGAAAATGGGAACTCCACCTCTTCACTTCGAATACCGTATATATTACAAAGTAGTGTCAACATATTTTGAAACTGTATCATGTATAGAAAATGATCATATAAACATYGAGAGAAAATCTCAAGGATCTACAGTTATTCGTTTTTGAGTTATACCAAATAAAAAACATAATCAATTCGAGCAAAAACTGGTTTTCGATAATTATTTGTTGTAATTTARTAACGATATAATAYTGAATAATTCTTGAAATTTTAAAGCAAATATTTATGATAACACATTGTGGACATGAAATAGCTTTTATAAATAAAGAATTTTCCATTTTGAGTTACCTTCTTATAGATATTTTACATTTTATTAGATTTGTATTGATTTTACAATGATATGTGTTATTTATTTAGTTTTTTTTTGTGTGTCTGTGTACATGGTAACTTGTCGGTACCTTGGTTGAAAGAAATTTTGAAATTCCTAGTAGTTATTACAAGCACYAGGAAAAAAAATTTATGAAAAATGGGAATTTTCACGCAAAATCAATTTTTGAGAAAAACTAGTTTTGATATTGGTGCAACTTTTAAGTATTGAATACACATAAAATTTTCACTGAATGTTTATACTGACAATTTCTAAATATGATAAAACTTTCAAAATATTTCAAAACATTATAARTTATTTATAGACATTTTAAATTGTCGATCTTTATAGCATTATTTTTTTTTTTTATAAATGACACTTAAATTKTATTCATTTCGTAAAAAMGCTTCAAAACAAGGCTCTACAACGACAGTTAAAAAATATAATAAATACATTCATATTGTTTTTAATAAGCATTTAAAGTTTGAATATTGAGAAAAAACGTAAAAAATTTTTTTTTTTAGAAGAAAATATACGATCTATATCTTAGACATAATAAGTATATGTGCGATAAGAGAAACAATCAATAGGGTGATTTACATAAATTTGAGGAAAGAAGCCACCCACTGATAACACTTTCGTCTTGGTTTAATCATATTAGTGTTTTAGTTATATGTTAGTATTTATATTATAAATTTAGTTATATCTTATATGTTATTATTTAAAGTAATAAATCTCTGYACCATTTACGTTTAAGTCGCCTTGGAGAGCTACCTGGGATTGTGAGGGATGATAAGTTTTTAATGAGTGGATTTAAATGAGAGGATAGACAGTTATGAAATTTTTTATAAAAACGTTTAGCTTCGTCATGAATATAGTATTTATAATAGTAATTATAATAATAATAATAATAATAATAATAATAATAATAATTATAATTATTATAATAATATAATAATAGTATTTAAGTTACAATCTAAATGTAGGGTATGGTCGAATATGTATGAAGGGGCATTAAATAATTTCCTTAAGGTCATATTTTGGAAAGCTTGAATCTTATTCAGGTTTGAATTTTTAGCATTTCCCCATAGCTGCAATCCGTATGTCCAAATGGGTTTTAATAAGGTTTTATACAAGAGAAGTTTGATATTGATAGGGGTGGCTTAAGAAAAAACGTAAAAATCACGATAATTTGCAATTTATTTCAAGTTAGAAATTCATAGAAATTTATCTTTTTAAATCTAAGATTTGGAAATTCAATTCAAGATTCTTCACAGGTTCGTATATTTTTATCTAATAAAAAATGTCTACCAGAAAGTCAAATTAAATTTTTATGAGCATTTGAATTACAACAATGGATATTCACTCAATTTCTCTTGACCCGATATTCTTATTTTTTTGTTATTCAAAAACGAATAACTGTAAAACTTTAAATTTACACCATATGTTTATTTTATCTATTCCTATACTTGATAATATTTTAAAAATATTCCAACAATTTTTAAGTTATTTATAGACATTTGAAATTGTCCGTTTTTAGTTTTTTGTATTATAAATATCTATAAAATTATATTCAGTGGGTAAAAAAACTTAAAAATTTAAAACAAGGTTCCCCGTAAGTTGATATAATAGCAGTGGAAAAATATTAATAATACATAGGCATGTTTTTTTTTCCATATATATAACAATTTAAACTTCTAATTTTGACAAAACTTAATGCATTTAAAATTTACTACAGTTTTAATTTATAAAACGTTTAAATTTTATGGCTAAGGGTTGAAAATTTAAAACAAGGTTCCACGTAAGTAGTTAATTCTGCTGCTGCTGCTGCTGCAAAAAAAGAAAAACTATTCAAACACAGTTCTCTTTATAGATATTTTAAGTTCAAATTTGGATGAAATCACATTTTAAATAATAAAGAATAATAATTTTAGTGATAGTTGTAATTTAAAAATATCATTYGTGGGCACTTAAATTTCTAAAGTATACTTTACATTCTAATATTAATAGCTAATGTCGTTAATGACTTATATTAATACTTTATAATAAATATTAATTTCTATATACCTACTATGAATGACTGAGTGAGTTGGGTTATTGGGATTAATAAATAAGATTTGATTAATTTAGAATTTATTTTATAGGTATCTAAATTTTT